CCAGGCAAGTGCTAAACATGAAAGTCTCACCCCGAAAGAGTTAAGTGCTATACAGAGGTTAGTCTAACTAACAAGCTAGAGATAAGAGGTACCTGCATTGAGTTCAAAGTGGAAAAAAAAAACCCAAAAAACCAAACATGTTGGGGAAAAAAAAAAAAGGGCAGGAGAATCATTACATACAGGGAACAAGACTCGTTATAAAGATAAATCATCTTGTTCCCTACCTTGCTGTCCTAGTGAATATATGAAGCATCACTAATTCTCAGGCACAATGTATAACACGTGCCTGGGTCAGAGGGGTTACCTGTAGTGGGGTCTCGTGGGAATTTGGGAAGAGCAGCAGTTAATGAAACCCTTCGTACTTGCGGTCTGGTCTGATCTATCTGTCCCAGATCCTGAACTAACCAGCGTCCCTCATGTCCCTGCCCAGTACCAAGGTGGAAAACAGTATGGAGAGAGCTGCCAAGCTTTCTGTACCCATCTGCAGCTCCAGTCTATAGCAGACTGACCTGCTACTGGGTGGGAAAGTCACAACTCCCTGCTCAGCAGCGTGCTTTGAGCCTATGGCTTGTCAGATTGAGGGGATCCATGCCCTTTCCCCAAAGGAACTTCCCAGTGACTCAGTTCCAGGAATCACCCGACCTTCACATGCTCAATAAGCTTGAGAGAGGGCTGAAGTGTCTTGCAAAGATATGCTGGTATAATGGTTTTAGAGCCAGGCAGAGGCATGTTGGATCTTGGCCATACATTGTAGGGAATTGTAGTAAAATCAATTAGTAGGAATAAGGCTGCTGTGACTAATGAGCTAATGAGTGATGCCTGAGTGGCCATGGCTCTAAGAGAGCTGTAGGGTTGGATTCCTAATGCATTATTCATAGGGATAGGTCAGATTCAGTCTTGGCACTGTTTTTTTTTCACTTTACTTTTCCAGCTTTAACTTTTAAAGACGCTTCTCATCATTGGAAAAAACGGAGAACGGCAAAGATATCCATTTAATTCCTCTCTTTTAGGTGTGAGGTGGCTCTCATCTCTGGAGAATTGTGGTTTCTGTGAGATAGATGAGGGATATGACGCATCAGAGGTGACGTTCATAGTAATTTAATTTAATCCTTGGCACTCTGCACACCAGCAGGTTTACTGATTAGACTAACTCGTCGTTTCTGCTGGCTTCCTTAAATGGTTTTCATCATTAACGCTATTTTGAAGCTACTAGGAGAAAACTGTGAAGTGTTCGAACATACCTCCTCTTTAGCCTTTCTAATGTGGAGCTTATATTGTAGTTATGATCAGCCCTACAACATGCACTAACAATATCCAAAATGGGGAAACTGAGGTTAATTTTCCAAGTTCAGTTAGCAAATCATTGACAGAGCTTAGAATAAACCTTGAAGGATGTGGCTTTCAGGCCAGCACTCACTCCTGTAGCTTCTAGTAACACATGCACCTCCTATCAAGGTTGCACAAAAATAGCAGGAAAGCACCGATGAAAAAGAAGCATTAACTAGTGGTTAAGGGGTTAAGTGGTAAAGTGGTTGAGGGGTCTGGAGCCCCAGGCTGCTGGGGAGCGGCTGGGGGAGCTGGGGGTGTTCAGCCTGGAGAAGAGGAGGCTGAGGGGAGCCCTCATCGCTCCCTACAACTGCCTGAGAGGAGGGGGGAGCCGGGGGGGTCGGGCTCTGCTCCCAGGGAAGGGGCGATGGGACGAGGGGCACCGGCCTCAAGTTGTGCCAGGGCAGGGTGAGGTTGGCCATGGGGAACAATTCCTTCCCCTTGGGGCTGTCAGGCACTGGAAGGGGCTGATTCCTGCCCCTTGGGGCTGTCAGGCACTGGAAGGGGCTGCCCAGGGAAGGGGTCAAGTCCCCACCCATGGGGGGATTTAACAGCCGGGCAGATGAGGTGCTGAGGGCCAGGGTTTGGGGGTGGGATGGCAGGGGTAGGGGAACGGTTGGGCTTGATGATCTTAAAGGGCTTTTCCAACCTAAATGATTCTATTCTATTCTATTCTATTCTATAAACCATGTGGAACACGATGCTGGCTCTATTTCTGGAGTCGCTACTACCTTGCTCCATGAGCCTAATTAACCTCTCTGCATCCCAACTTCCTTATATATGATATTGAGATAATATTAACTCATCTTACAGGAGCATTTTTGGGTTTAACCTACTTGTAGGCGTGCAGCAAAAGCTTAGCACAAGCATAAGACGTCGTGTCAGTACCTCTCCACATCTACCTTTGAATCGAACCATAGCCTTTACTTATACATTTGTCTGCTCTGGTGGAAAGATGTGCGATTCCTAGAAGATATATGAAGAGCTGATTAGAATCAAGAAAATGGAGAGCTGAAAATGATCAAGTCAAGAAGGCTCTGAATCAAAACCAGTACCTGCACTTCTCTAAGTACACACACACAGAGCCAACAGTTATAGAATCATAGAATCACAGAATCATTTAGGTTGGAAAAGCCCTTTAAGATGATCAAGCCCAACCGTTCCCCTAACCCTGCCATCCCACCACTAAACCCTGTCCCCAAGCACCTCGTCTGCCCGGCTGTTAAATCCCTCCAGGGATGGGGACTCGACCCCTTCCCTGGGCAGCCCCTTCCAGTGCTTGACAGCCCTTTCATTGAAAACATTTTTCCTAATGTCCAGCCTAAACCTGCCCTGGCACAACTTGAGGCCAGTCCCTGAAACTCTGCCCTGGAGGTGGATGGGCCTATCTTAGGACTTCCCAGCAGGACCTTCTCAGCCCAGTAATTAGGCAGTGTGAGCCAGTCTATTGGGATGTTATGGGATTTGGAGACTATTTCCAGCACGGATGCAATTGTTGCAGGGCTGCTCACATCAGATGAAGATGCCTCCACCCAGAGACTGTCTTAGCTGTCCAGGTAGGACAGGAAAGGGGTTTGGCACAGGTTTCTCAGGCTGGAAGATTTATAGAGCTTGTGTATTTTTATTTTTTTCCTCTGTAGTTAATGGAAAACCCCCAACACAATAGGCTGTGATTGCCCATAAAAGAATAGAACAAAAGGAGTTCAACAAAATGCTGTTTGGATGTTCCAATTAATCCTTGCTATTTCTCTGGTGTCTTGCCAACACTGCAAGGCAATTGCATAGTGTGTGCATAAAAGAGGAAACATTTTGGGTGATGCTTAAAGACTCAGATAAGATCAACTGAAACTATAAACAAGTACGGTATGTTGTCACCCCCCCCCCCCGAAACAACTCACTGAACTGAAGAAGGCCATGGCATTTAAGCAGGGCGTTGGCATATATTCTTCCATCCAAAAACTTATAATGTAATGAAGATCACATTTCAGATGTGCATGTGAAACCAATCATCTCGCACACATTGTTTGAGGCCACTTAATACCAGAAACTAGAAACCAAACCCCTTTCCATGTTTAGTTGTTTTTTTTTTCCCTAACGAAGCAAACACAATCAGCGTATTTCCCTTTTCTCAATAGGTTTATAAAATTCTCTGCTGAATACGAGGAACGGCAAACCAAGAATGCCTTTCCCTAGATGATTTTGGGCTGGAAATAACCGGTAAACTTTCATAATCAACAGAATGACTGTATTATGGAGGCAATGTGAAGACAATGGTTCCATAGATCACCCAGAAGTGTTGTTTGTAAGTGAGGCAGGGCTTGCTGAAATGATGAGACTGTCACCGGAGCTTTTGGCTTGGAGAGATGGGGACTGGGTTGTTTATCTGGGAATAACAGAAGACCATTTACTTTTAACATTTCAAGATTTTGCATAATACTAACCCTGAATAAAGTTCCTCCAATGGTGTGATAGATTACAAAAATGGTAGGAATATCTCCAAGAACGTCTTGGAGTGGTGGTAGACCTGGCAGGGTTAGGTTAATGGTTGGACTTGATGATCTTAAAGGTCTTTTTCAACCTGAACAATTCTGTGATTCTATGATCTTTGTTTCAACTTTCCCTCCTTTCTTTCCTTATTAGAAGTGCGTGTTGGGGGGCACCTGGCATAACCACAGGAAACTTCTTCTTTACCAGGGTTTGAAATTCCACAATCAAACTTGCCCACCACACATTGTAGGAGGATTTACTAGCCTGGGGTGGGCCTGAGGCACAGGAGAAGTGGGCAGATGGCTGGGGCAGCAGGGTTTGGGGATGGAAAAGCCAAGGTTTTTGGCAAGCAAAGAGTTGTGGGCTTGCTGCCACACTTGGAGAGGGTTGGCTCAGACTAGAGTGGCTTCTCCATGCACCGTCCTCCCTGAACAGCTCAAGGTAGTGAACCTGAGGCACTCCCTTGGCCCGGATTTTCATGGTCTGGTCTTCTTGTCTTCCCAGTGCTCTCTCCACCTGTGTCTTGTAGAGGACAGGGAGAGGAGAGAGGGACATGACATGGCCACATGCACGGCCCCCTGAAACCCTGCTCCCAGCTTGGGGAGAGGCACTGCAGTACGAAAACCCCAGCCATGGTCTTTCCAGTGAGTAAGGGGTTGCAAGTCAGCTTTCCACCCCTACTCCTGGGGATAAACTCTGGTCCCTGCTGAGGTTAAAAACACAGAGAAGAAAAGTATATGGGGTTTAATGCCTTGCTGTTCACAGCTACAGATGCCTTTTCCCCTGGATTTGTGGAAGCCACCCAGGTCTCTCTAACCACTACAAAAATAAGAAGAAATATCAACAAGCTGTCCAAGGCATGGACACTGGGGTTATTTAATACCCCTGAGTTTACACATCATGCCTAGACACAAAGCACACAGCTTAAACAACGTCAGCTATTGTCCATCATGCAAACCCTCATTTTCTTCTCCAAGGCACATGAAAAGAGTTGATGATATGGCAGGAGGTGGGGCCTCCTTTATAGCTCATTCAATACATTTATAGCTCTATCAGACTCGTTTTTCCAGTAGAATTGGATCTTGGGTCGGAATCGGTACACAGCAAGCTACCAGGAAGTGTCCCATTAGAGCCGGTGGTGAAGAGCGGAGTCAGCCCAGTGACCAGGTGACGAGGGTCCGTGGAAGATGAAGGTGTTTCTGTCTCTTCTGTTGGTTGCTGTCGCTTGCATGGAGTTTGGTAAGTTCCTGCTCTGAGATGCAGCATGACAGGATGGGGTGCACCCTGTTCCCTGTGAACTCCTTGCCTCTCACGTTGAGCAGTTTTCAGCAAAAAAGTCTGTCTTGGGAATATTTCCAGCCTGTCAGATGTTCAGGATCATCATGGTCTCTTTGGGATCGTTAGTTTAGGCTCTTTAGGAAGTGTTACGAGACAAAGTGTGATTATATCATGTAATTTTTTTAATGCAATTTCCAGCTCTTGATTTTTACTGTTCTTGTTCAGTCTGACTCACATCTTCTGGTTTTTTTTTTTTGTGTTGCTTTTTTTTTTAAATATTTCTGTTCCTCTTTTGATATTTAACCCTGAAGCCAGCTAGCCAGTTTAATGCACTGTATGTAACGGCTCTCTCTAATTATACGTTGCATGTGTGGTTTATTAAACATCAGCCACTACAAGTGGTAAAGATGGGCTGGGACACTAAGCTGGTGGCCCAGGTACTGCAGAGCTGATGTTTCCAGCTCTGTTTAGTAACACGCCATGGCTTCCATGAAATCAAAGACAATTTTCGCAGGCCACCTCGGAAACCCCCAACAAGTGTGAAGTGTTTTGAGGATTTTCCCCAGTTGCAGGAGAATTTGTGAGTTTGTCACCACAAGGAGTGACCCCCCACCATCCTCCCTCCCTCTCTTCTGTCCCTATTAGGCTACCTGCCACCATGCTGGAGGGGGTAGGCTTGAATCACACAGTCAAGGTGGGCAGCCAACAGCAGCCTGATACTGGGGGTGACCCATCTGAGATGTGGAGGTAGGGAACAAGCCTCATGAGTCCAGTCTGCACAGGGATGCCATGCAAACCTTGGCCCTCTGTTCCCATCAGTGGGATTCAGCTGCTTCTCCTCCATTACCAACTCCATGAAGCCAAACACAGAGGGGTGTTTGGGATATGGGTGTTTTCATTCCCTAGGAGGTAGGGAATCCCCTCATCCCAGGCAGTTCTACATGAGTGGTGATGCCATAACCTCTAATGGTGAAAGGTGACTGCACAGTGGAAAGGGCACCCTGGCATAGACTTCCTGTCCCTTGATGCTGCCACCAGAATAACTTCTTGGACAAAACCTTATTTAATACCGACAATTCCAAGCTCAGAGTCTGTGTTAGCTTGGGTAAGTCCAACGCAGGGTAAGTGTGGGAGCTGCGACTGTTAATTGGGATATTTGCATGCTGTGCACTACTCCTCCGGATCCAGGCACTGTAGGGTCTGATTTTATCTGTGCCTGACTGGGCACAGAGCTATGTTAGGATTTTTTCCTTTGTATTTATTTCCTTCTTATGAAAGGATGTTTTTATGCCTCCATCTTCGGGTCTGCAAAGGGATTCAGCAAGAGAGGGACAAGTGGGTGGAGAAGGAAGGGGGTTTGGGAGGATTTCTGGGGAGAACACAACTGCTGTTTGGAGAGGCAGACCTGGAGCTGGGACAGTAGCCCTCTCTTTTGTGTAATGCACTGAACTGTCCTGTTATCTCTAAGACACGTGTCCTGGCTCTGGTCACTAGTAGTTCAAAGCCTTGGGGTGCTTGTGCTGTGTCAAGATCAACGGGAGCTTCATGTGCTCACCACAGCTGCTACAGCAGAGATTAATCATCATTGGTCTCCAGAGCAGGAGATATTTCCTTTCATCATTATACCCTGTTCATTCTGGGGATTCATGTCTGCTTGTCAATGGAGAGACAGCAGTTCAGAGAGGAATATCATTAATTAATAGAGGATGGCTTGGAGAGAAGGGGATTCTATAATCAGAGCTCCTTCAGGGACAGGCAGGAATCTGAAAGGCAGAATGGAGCAGGAAGGCAATGGAGTGGGATACAAATTTGGTCTAAGATTGACTCACCAACCTAATTTTGCCATCCTACTTAATAAGACTTTGTCAAGGGTTGGGCAGCTTGGGAGCAGAAGCTCCTGCTGTTCTGGTCCTTCCCCACTTCCCTGTCCCCTTCAGGTAGGTATAGGATGGATGCTTTGGTTTGGCAGGCAAACCCTGGCCTATTTTGGAGACTTCATAGTGGATTTGGCAAGCAGACTTTGCTTCTGCACGCTCTGTCCTCTGCAAAGCTGGGATAAAACCACGGCGTATCTGCAGTTCCTCCCAGCTTTCTTCGGAGCATGAGTGGAATCTGTGTAATTTTGGTATTTCCTGGAAAGACGGTTGGAGTTTAAGGATGGAGGACCTGCCAATATCCAAGTGAAGCTAATAAAATCTCTTCTAAGAAATTCCAAGATTTTCTGCTTTGTTATCTCCTCTTTTGCTTTCAGCATTCTAAAAAGAATGTGCTATAACTAAACTGCAATATTTTAGTGTTTTATATTCACCTCTTCTTTTAAAGAAGGCTTCTAACATGTCTCTATTCCTTTTTATATTGCAATTTCATTTTTAAGCTACTGCCAGTCTGCTTATCTGTATGTAAGTGCATAAGCTCTTAAAACAAAAAGGGACCGCGAGAGTTTTGTTATCTTCACAAATAGGCCAGATAGGTGTTCCAGAGCTTGCTTAAAACAGGGCTTTTAGACCACAGGTCTTTAAGTCTTCAAGTTGTGGTGTTTCTTCCCTGCTCTGTGAGATGCCAGCTGGCTATTGCTGCTGAAGCGTTGCCTCATTTGCAAAAGTAAAGTTGTTTCATTCCAGCTTTTGGTTATTTTACTCTGTTAAACACTTTCTGATCTGCAATTTTTTCCACCTCAAAAAAACCCAAACCCCAAACGCCAAGCTCATAGCTATAGCTGCTATTTAACATATTTAGATATGTTTGAACCTGTTAGTCTCAGTAAGGTTAATTAAAATCCTGGGTTTGCACATGTTGGGGACAATGCTCTCTTAATTTGACGTCCCTTTGTGCTTATTTTTTGACTGTTTTTTTGTAGTGATTTTTTTTTTTTTTCCGAAGAGGAACACAAATGCTGTGGTTTTGACTTGTCCAGTGATGCCTATCATGAAATCTGAGACTAATGACGAAGCTTCCTCCCTAAAGATGCATTTGACAGCTGTCACATATAGAACTGATGCAAACAAAACATCAGCTCTCAGTGGGCGAAATAGAAGAATAAAGCGAGCTTTGAATAAAAGCAAGATAATTGCTGGGTCTGTTTATAAAAGGGCTCTTTCTGTCTTACTAGATAGGGTCAAGTTGCAGTATCTATTTTCATAAGGTGGCTTGTTTGCCTGAGCCTGCCGTTATCACACCCATTTGAGGCGTGCTGAGATGAGCTGAATTGTTTTTCTTTTTCAGTGGGGTTTAAAGGGATTTCAGCAGGGCTGTCACACAGATGGGGTGAGAACTGCTTTCCTGGTAGACCAAGGAGGGGCTGCTGGTCTGTGATGGTACCAAAATGCATTGCTATGCCTGTAAGGCACACAAATTCAGGTGTCTGGCTGAGGGGGGAGGGATGTGGGGTGGGGTGTGGAAAAGAAAACTTAGATCAGGTGTTGGGTTCCTTGGAAAGACCTGCAGAGACCAAAGTGTCCTGAAAATCTTGTCCAAAAATGGCTTCCTTCGTGATAGGGAATACCAGACATTATTTTGGCTTGATATCTTTATCTTGGAGTGCTCTGGAAATACTGCATCATAACAATCTGAGCTCTTCAGCATCTCTCTCTAAAACTTCTTCATCTCAAAAGACTTTGAGACTCAAAAGTCTACCGAAGGACTTGGGCTGTGGTTATTCTGCAGGTCTAGGAGCTAATTGGCATCTGCAGGCTTGCAAGTGCCTTTGCAGCTCAACAGGGAGGTGACGAAGAGCATCTGGGAACTGGTTGAGTGATGAGGCAGGGGAAGGTACCTTGGGATGGATGTGGGGACTTGGGTACCAAAATCTGCTTTTATGGTCTGTGTCTAGAGCAGTACATGTCCCAAGGAGTCTACTATTATGGCCACTGTCATCTTTTTAAAATAACTTTTTACACATTCTTCTCATGAAACCAGAATCTCAGCACAGGGGCAGGGTTGTGCTTAATTTGTTCTCATGGCTCAGTAAATTTGATGGAGCCAGTTCCTTCTCTCCAGAACACTCTCCCACCTGAGAACTCCCAGTCTTTGGAAAGAGCAGAAAGAGTGGACAGCACCAGATGAAATTCTCCCTGCTGCAACTCGCATTCAAGTCTGACTTCTCTTTGTATCCAGATCCTTCACCAAGGGGAAGTCATGCTTGAATCTCATGCATGGCAAACTTCTGTGATGAAATGACTGGCATAGTAGATGAGCAGTGGATATTGACTACCTGGACTTCAGGAAGGTTTTTGACACTGTCTCCCATAAGATCCTCATAGACAAGCTGTTCAGGTATGGGCTGGATGAGCAGCCAGTGAGGTGGGTTGAAAACTGGCTGAATGGCCAAGCCCAGGGGGTGGTGATCATTGGCACAAAGTCTACCTGAAGGCTCGTAACTCAAGGTGTACCCCAGAGGTCAATATGGGGTCCAGTCCTGTTTAGCATCGTCATTAATGACGTGGATGATGTGGCAGAGTGTACCCTCAGCAAGTTTGTGGACGACACAAAACTGGGAGGAATGGCTGATATGCCAGAGGGGCACGCTGCCATCCAGAGGGACTTTGCCAGGCTGGAGAAATGGGCTGACAGGAACCTCATGCAATTCAACAAGGGGAAGCGCAAAGTCATACACCTCAGGATGAACAACCCCATGCACCAATATATACTGGGGGCCATCCAGCTGGAAAGCAGTTCTGCTGAAAAGGGCCTGGGGGTCCTGGTGGACACCAGGTTGAACATGAGCCAGCAGTGTGCCCTTGCAGCAAAGAAAGCTAATGGTATTCTGGGTTGCATTAGCTGAAGTATTGCCTGCAGGTCAAGGAAGGTGATCTTCCCCTCTGCTCAACACTGGTGAGGCCACACCTGGAGTAGTGTGTCCAGTTGTGGGCTTCCCAGTACAGGAGATAGATGGACATGGAGAGAGTCCAAAGAAGGGACACAAAGATGAACATCTCTCCTCTGAGGAAAAGCTGAGAGAGATGGGACATCAGGAAACACTTTGCCACTGTGAGGGTGACTGGGCACTGGCACAGGTTACCCAGGTAGGTTGTGGAGTCTCCATCCCTAGAGATATTAAAAACCCAGCTGGACAAGGTCCTGGGCAACCACCTGGTCCTGCTTGAGCAGGGGGATTGGACCAGCTGACCTCTAGAGGCCCCTTCCAACCTCCACCATCTGTGATTCTGTGAGTCTATGATCTCCTTCTGATGCTCTACTAATGCAAAGGCAAGGAGAAAAGCAGATGCAAATTAAGAACAGAGTGGAGGTAAGCCAGCTACAAGTGTGTTTACTCTCCCATGGGAATAACGCCGATTAAAGGAACTTGGCAATGCGGTTGGCTGGCAAGCAGAACAGTTAGATACCGCCCATAAACATGTGAAGCAGGGCCCATTGACTAATCACAATGATTACAATAAAAACATGTTGCTAATTACACAGCTGAAGTATTGAACTTCTCCTGGGTGCCTGCATGTCTTAGCTGTCTGCTGGCACCAGGGATAAGATCTTCAAAGGATTCAGGCACTGAGATGTCTCATTTTGCAAATCCTGTCTTCTGCTGGTATCCATCCACTGCACAGATTAGTCAGCCCTGTCTTAGGCAACCCAATTACCTCCACAGTGGTAAGGGAGAAGTAGGTGGGTCAAGCAGCTCCTCCTTGTTATTTTCATTCATTTACTCCTGATTTTTTTTTTTTTTTAATCACCTTCATTGTTTCTGTTGGAGTTGGGATGTCCCAGCACATTCAGTCCATATTCACTGCATGGGTGCAGATCCAAAAATTAAGTAAAATTAGCTTTATACTCTCTTGCGGACTACTTAAGACCTATCTGCAGAAAAAAGCCAACCTACCAAACTCCTGATAACAAAGCAAGAGCAGAAGGACCATCTCTGTGCTTCAAACATTCAGCACCCTGGTGTTGAAAGGACTTTCCTGTATCGTAGGGTCTTCTGTGTCTGTGGCTCTGTCTTGCTTGACTTGTTACAGGGGGTCTGGACCCATATCTCAGTCTGTGCTACCACCAGACTACTGTATTTCTCATTCCCATTGGTACAAATACCTTTTACTATTCCATTCCTGTTCTCTGTATGAGTATTTTTGAGACATACCCTACCCAGAGGTACCTGGAGGGGCATGGACAGAATCTGGTGGTCCACATGAAGTCCAACATCACGTTTTTCCTCCTTGCAGTCCAAACCTTGCAATGTTACAGTTGCCATGAACCCACCGCTGCTGCTCGGTGCCTGACCATCCAGAACTGCACGACGAATGAAACCATGTGCAAGACTACTATGTATTCCCTGGAGGAAGGTAAGGGTAATTACTTCTTTATCCACGTTTTTAACATGTCAGTGTTTCTACAGTGAAGACTGCTGGTGTGGGGAGCAGTACCCTTTCTCACTTAAATATATAAGCCTGAAAGAGAGCTCCCGCGGGGCAGAAAAGGCTTCTGCTGTTGTGGAAAACAGTCTTCATGTGAGTGAATACTTGGTGAATGCAAGCTCATCGTTAAAGCACGGTTAGAAAAAACATATTGACTTGAGCTTGAGGCATGGAGCTAAAGAGTTGTGTCTCTTCAGACCGTTTGCATGACTCATACAAGCGGTGTGGGTTAAACAATGTTCTCCTGACCCAAGAACTATTTATGAAAGCTGGGTGGAGTAGAGAGGCCAGTGGAGATGAGCCAAGCTCAGTAAGGTGGGAACACCAACTTTTGGTCATTTGGAAGCAAAACAGAAATGCCTTTAAGTTCTTTGGAGCTCTGAATGAAGTCATTGTCAGTCTGACTGGTGACCCTACAGGTTATAACCTGTCCAAACAAAGAAATGCACTGTGAAGATGGAGGCTCTCTCTTTTGCATGGTCCTGCAGATAAGGCTCTGGTCACACATGGGAGAGGCAGGAGATAGTGAGTAGAGTCAAAGCAGAGGCAGAAAAAGTGCCTAATTGACCTTGTGTAGGGTAAAGCTGATTCAGGTGGGACATGGAGGATGTAAGGTGCTGTTCAGCTTGCAGCCACTCAGGGGAAATGGTTTCCTATATTCCGAGTAGAAAGTAGACCAAATGTGTTTAAACTGGAGCTAAGACTGTGGTGGGGAAGGCAGCTAAGATTTCACTAGGGACAAGGAGAGTTCTCCTCCATTCCTCCCATTCCTAACTGTTGCTTCTTTCTTGCTTTGTTGTAGTTTATCCCTTCGTGGGAGTCTCGACTGTCACCAAGATGTGCGCTTCTGTCTGCATCCCATCTGATGTGGATGGGATTGGCATGACGCGCCCTGTCTCCTGCTGTTACTCTGAATTGTGCAACACTGATGGTGCAGCTAGTTTGAGGATCAGCTTCATGCTAGTTGGGATGCTAGCAAGTTCCCTTTGTGCCCTCTTCTGGACTAGACTGTGAGGAGCTGATGGGGAGGTCTTTCATGCTGAAGAACTCAATGAAGAAGATAATAAACCCCTTCCAGCCCAGGTTTCTGCTTGGATGCCTCAGGGACAACCCTCAACAGCTCCTAGAAATTGCTTTTTTAGTACCCACCCTTTTCCCATGTCCAAGAGAGAAGAAAAACTCAGGAAGTCCCGACACAATTTTTTTAATTGACTCTTCAACAACTCCCACAAAACTAACTTTGGGGTTTCTTTCTTTGCTGTGCTGGTCTGGTTGGTTTTGAACTAAAAAATTCTGCTGTTTGAAGTCTATTTAAAGCAAAAAGCCTTGTGCTAGGACCCTTCCATACCTCATTAGAGCATTTTTCCCCCAGGTGACAGCCAGCAGAATAGCCGAATTGACCGGTCTTCTCAGATGAAATTCAGCTGTGTCAGGCCCTCTCCACCCAACAGTTTTGTGCTGGCCCTTTGTGCTGTCTAGGTCTCCTTCTTTATACACAAGAAATTAAGGACACATTTATATTTTCAAAATATGAGGCATGAGAGTAAACCTCCCGTGCCAGTGATCTGATCCAAAAAGGCTGAAATTTCTTTTTCTGTACCCTTTTGAGCAGAATAAAAAGAATGTTGTGTTGAAACTGTAGTGATCACTAAAGTTATTTACACTGCACCTGTCCTCTGATAAAGTTTTTAAAATTATTTTATTTTATGTCAAATGATTTTGGTTTATTTTATTTTATTAATTTAATTTAATTTTTTATTTTAATAGAATTGATTTTTATTTTATTTCATTTATTTTATCTTTATTTTATCTTTATTTTATCTTTATTTTATATTTATTTTATATTTATTTTATTTTATTTCATTTCCAAACTCCAGTTCCACCTTTCAGTGGTTTTTATAGAGTGAGATGAGTTAGGTTTTGAAGTCAGTCTTGCTACATATGTGCAAGACATTTCCGATTATCTCCCACTGGCAGGGGCCTTCCATCAACATTTCTTTTACTGGTATGACACTATCTTCACTGGCAAGACTGGGTGATTGGTGTAACAGTTCTGGCCTGAATTTGGAGTCCAGTGGAATGACTTTACCCCTGGCTTCAATCCTCGAGAGCATCACCTGCAATTCCTTGCATGTTGGTAAGGGCTCCTACATTTTTATATTGTCTATCTTGGTGTGATTCTGCATTTTTCTATAATCCCCTTTTCAAGATCTACCAGCAGAAATGTCCTTCTCCAATTTTCACTCTGCTTGAGATACTTGAAATTATCAGAAAAGATGTGTTTTAAAGTCTTCCATGTAGCATAGGCATAAGAGCAGGTGTCTAAGAGAGGTGGCACGATTTACATCCTCGGAAGTTTTCGTGATCCAGGTGGATGAAGTCCTGAGAAACCTGGGCTGAGCTCACAGCCAAGAGCTTTGATCAGGAACTTGGTTTAGACACTTCCTGGGTTCCCAATTCCAATTGGAATTTCCCGTGATCTTATGGCGCACTCACTGAGATCACCGGAGCAGAAACCATTATTTTCAGGCATGCTGTGAAGTCTGGCAGATGTTTCTGCAACGATTTTCGCCTGTCCTGCATTGCTTCCCATGGCCAAAATGAGATCAAATTTGGAACAAACTGCAATTCTGGAATCACACACAGCTCCTAGGGTGCTCAGATATAATTCCTTTGCTGGAATAACATCGTGTAAGTGGTCAGGGTGCTGCACCGGCATGGAAGTGACTGGATGAATCACAGAATCGCAGAATGGCAGGGTTGGAAGGGACCTACAGAGATCATTCAGTCCAACCCCCCTTCTAAAGCAGGTTCATCTAGAGCAGGGTGCACAGAACATCATCCAGGTGGGCTTCGAATGTCTCCAGAGGAGACTCCACAGCCCCCCTGGGCAGCCTGTGCCAGGGCTCTGTCACCATCGAAGTAAATAAGTTCTTTCTTGTATTCAGCTGAAACCTCTTCTGCTTCAGTTTGTGCCCATTGCCCCTTGTCCTGTCACTGGGCACCACTGAGAAAGAGGCTGGCTCTGTCCTCATGACATCCACTCTCTAAGATATTTTTAAGTAGTTATGAGATCTCCTCTCAGTCTTCTCTTCTCCAGGCTAAACAAGCCCAGCTCCCTCAGCCTTTCCTCATAGGGGAGATGCTTCAGTACCCTCATCATCTTTGTAGCCCTCCTCTGGACTCTCTCCAGTCGTTCCTCATCCTTCTTGAACTGGGGAGCCCAGAACTGGACACAGGACTCCAGGTGGGGTCTCACCAGGGCAGAGTACAAGGGGAGGAGAACCTCCCTCGCCCTGTTGGCCACACTCCTCTTAATGCACTCCAGATACCATTGGCTTTCTTGGCAACAAGGGCACACTGCTGACTCATGGTCAGCTTGTTGTCCACCAGGACCATGGAAGGACTTTGGAAATGAGCTCAGGCTTGCATTAGCTGGCAGTGTGAACTTTGCAGTGTTTTCTACCTGGGACCCATGCCCAGAGCTCAGTTCCCAGGGGTGTGTGATGTGGTTTTGGCTTTCTGCTGCACAAGGTGGGGTACACGGATGGTCTTCCTTTTTATCTGCCGGTTCTGGCAGTCAGCAGCCTCAGGTTTTTGCTGGCCCAGGGGCTGCATCAGGACCACAGTCTGTGGTAACCAACAGTGAAACACCACCAAAATGTCTTACTTCATGTCGATTTTATTCACACTCCCAGCCTTCACAGCACCCTTGTGGGCTTAATGCCACCATTTCATTACGGGTAGTTTGTTTCTCTTTCAACCCCCCTGCCTCACAGTTTCATTCAGACCTCGTGTTCTCACAGATGAGCAGCAGTGAGACCGCTCCCTGTCTACCTTTTCTACACCATTAAAGTTATGTAGCCCTATGTCCATCCTGGCAGCTCTTTTCCAAGCCAAAGATCCCTTCTTTAAATCCAGGTATTGCTCATGAACCCATGAGTACCTGAATGCATCTGTACTCCAGGTATCAAGTGCGGTAGAGAGAGGACCATTAACAATCCTGAACGAACACCATGAGGAAAGAAGGGTGTCAAACATTCTCACCAGTCACAGGACATGCATGAGTGCCAAGACGTGAAGCGGGCACTTCATGTTCTTGCTGTGCTACTGCTAAGACCTAACACAAGTGGTTTGTCATGCACTAGTAAAATGCAATGGTGACAGGCCACCTTGTGGCCACTGGGTTTCCTCATGGCCACCTCGCTGCTTTTTATTGCCTCACTGAATGGTTTTTTTTTACATCCAGAAGCCCCGGGCACTTTACCATAGCTGATAACTTTCTTCTACAATCTGAAGGAACTGAAGTTTCCCTGAAAGCAAAGCTGGAGCCCAGATATATGGATACTCATTTTCTCATTTCTGTCCATAGGCACTTGTGACAAACCCTATTTTATCTTCTTTCTCCAAAAAAAGCCAAAGAGAGCCCCATTTATTTTACATTATTGTAAATAGAGGGTTTATTAGGATGTGGTCAAAATACCTGGCTACTCTCTCACTTGCTAGGGATAGAAAAAACATGTCCCATTCACTGTCCTGACTGTATGTCAACACTTCTGCACACAAGACCAACATTAATTACATACTAGCAAAACTCAGAAAGAAATATGACTTTCACAGGTTTTTCACTGCAGAGCACCGTTCTTCCTTAGATGTGAGTTACCGGGCTCAGGCTACCCTGTCCTAACCCTGCATTGGTTGATAAGCAGTGCAGTCATGGCTCAGGACATCACAAAATTATCATGTCAAAGAGCATTTAAAAACAAATACATCAGGAGCCGCAGATTATTGTGTTATATCGTCATCTTAGAGAACAACGCTAAAATTACCACTGCAGTCATGAACACTGAGAGCATAAGTCATGGGCAGAGATGGTGCAAATCATAGAATTATAGAATCATAGAATGTTTTGGGTTGGAAGGGACCCCTAGAGGTCACCCAGTCCAACCCCCCTGCTAAAGCAGGCTCACCTAGAGCATGCTACACAGGACTTCATCCAGGCGGGCTTTGAATATCTCCAGAGAAGGAGACTCCACAACCTCCCTGGGCAGCCTGTTCCAGTGCTCTGCCACCCTCAGAGTGAAGAAGTTCTTCCTCATATTCAACTGAAACCTCTTATGTTTCAGTTTGCATCCATTGCCCCTAGTCCTGTCGCTGGACACCACTGCAAACAGACTGCTTCCGTCCTCTTGACTTCCGCCCTTAAGATATTTGTATGTGTTGATAAGGTCCCCTCTCAGTCTTCTCTTCTTCAGGCTGAACAAGCCCAACTCTCACAGCCTTTCCTCGTAGGGGAGATGCTCCAGTCCCTTTATCATCCAAGACCAACCTGGTCTTGAATATTCCCATGGATGGGGCCTCCATCACCTCTCTGGGCAACCTGTTCCAGGGTTTCACCACCCTCATTGTAAAGAATTTCTTCCTTAGATCCAGTCTAAACCTACCCTAGTTTAGTTTAAAACCATCCCCCCTTGTCCTGTCACAGCTGGCCCTACTAAAAAGATTGTCCCCATCTTTCCTATGGGCTCCCTTTAAGCCCTGACCGGCCGCACTCAGCTCTGCCTGCAGCCTTCTCTTCTCCAGGCTGAACACCCCCAACTCTTTCAGCCTGAAACCATGCTTGAAACCAAGCCATTGCTGGGCTTGGGAACATGAGCTGAGCATATCAGGCTGGTGGAGCTAAAGTCATGTCACCAGAAAAACGCACGGAAGAAAAACCATTGCCTCCCAATTGCAAGAGATGACGCTATAGCCTTGTAGCCCAGTAAACACAGTACTGTCGTTGCCAGAAACAGGCCACACTCTTTTAATTAAGTTTGAAAGTCCTCAGGGCTGAGGCTTGTTGGGCTTGCTTTATCTGAACTTGTCTTGACCTGCCTTCAGCTTTGTTTTTACTGTGCTCAGCTGTAACAGCAGTTTTCCAAATTGGCTGGGTGGCTATGCCTAATTTCATTTACTGTTGTTTATCTTTGTATCGAGCAACTGTAAGTTTACATAGACAGCCCTAACAAGTT